CACCAGGATGAAATAAAAATTGTGATTCTCATTTCCCTCCAGATATGTTCATGTAATCAACAAAAATAATGTAACTACAACTTAGTTTGCTATTATCAATGACAATCTCTTAACTGTTTGACCAGATAAAGTAAGAGTGAAGAGCTGTGATCTTTTTCCTGTGTCTTTCTTAAGCCCTCCTGCTCTGATCTCAGCACTGCCTCTGAGGAGCTGTTTTCTGAGCCCAGTCTGCGCTGTGTGACGCCAGGCACAGCTGAGCACGCCCAGGCCGCCTCAGGCCTGCAGATGCCTCGACTCTTCCTTCTAAAGGGCAGGGGGACACTTTCTTTCTTTTCCCCCTTTTTCTTTAAAGTGAGCTTAACAGATCTTGTTTCTTTAGGAAATTTTTAGTTGAAAAAGTGACCAATTATAGGTCTTAATCTAGATTACGTTTTTAGAAGCCATTTTCTTACCTGTTTAGCAAACTCTAAGAGGACATAATTCAGGCATAAAAATGCCTTCCTCCCTTTCTTCCTCACCACCAGTTTCTAAGTCAGTAACGCTTTTCATTTTTAAAATATACACTATTTTTATATATCTCTTTACATATGATATATATATAACATATATAATATTTATATATATATATATATATATATATTCTTCAAGGACAGGAAGGGGTGGTGCAAAGTTATTGAATATGGGTAAAAAGTAAGGTTTACAAAAACAACAGGGAGTTTTTTGGTAGCTGGGGAGATACCTGTGTTTTTGTTTCCAGAGCTAAAGTGGGATGGTGACGGGAACTGTTCATTTCCTTAGTATGTGCCAGACACTACGGTGGATGCTTTATGTTCATTAACTCACCACATGCTAAGAATTAGTAAGATACATCTAATTACCCTTGTAGATCAGAGGAAAGGAGCCCGGGTGGTGCTGCTTACCAAAAGGTTGGTGGTTCAAACCCACCAACCACTCCACAGGAGAAAGATATAACAGTCTGCTCCCATAGAAACTGCGGCCTTAGAAATGCTATGGACAGTTCTACTCTGTCCAATAGGGCTGCTATGAGCCAGAATCGACTTGACAGCAGTGGGCTGGTGTTTTGTTTTGGTATCAGAGGAAGATCTCAAACTCAAGGAGGAGGGATAAGTGGCTTATCATTTAGGGAGTGAGAGATCGTGCTATTTTCAGATCTTATTCTTCCCGGCTTCTGCTTAACCCTTGCTATTCAGAAGCTTATGAAAGCTCACTTCACCATCTTCACTTTCTCCTCACTATCTTCAATGAGCGAAAAGACTCTCCTCCTCCTTACCATTCTAACTCCTGCTACGCTCCTGGGTGTCTTGATCTCTCCACAAAAAGCAAATACCGATGCTCCTTCTTTCTTGAAGCATCTCTCTCTGTTTCCATGGCAACACCGTGTCCTTGTTTCCTCTCACCTGACTGCTTGGTCCTTCTGAGTCTCCTTTGATGGACCCCTTCTTCTACATGACCTCTAAATGCTGCTGTTCTTTACAGTTTGCTCCTAGGCTACTTGCTTCTCTTCTGTGTATACTTTTTCCTTAAATGATCTCCACTTTTCTGGGCCTTTAAATATCTTCTGTTTTCTGATACCTCTCTAATTTATACCTCCATCTCAGCTCTCTCCTCTGAGCAAGAGACCTGCACGTCCAACTCTCTCTACTCAGATGCCTCAAACTTAACACCTTCAAAATGGAACTTTCAATTTTCTTTGCAACAACACCTCCAATGCAAAATGTCCCTTCTTCCACTAGTCTGTCCCATCTATAAATGGCACTACTGCCCAAATACCCTGTCACTCTAGCCAGAAACCTGTAACTCCCTTTTGATTACTGCTTCCTTCACTCTCCATACGTAATCCACGGGCAAGTCTATCTCTAAAATGTATTGGATATATCTAACGCATATATTCCCTATCTCAGTACTACCTTGTTTGTCTTCTTTATGGCACCAATCTCAATGTGTAATTATTTACTTGTTTATTTTCTATTTCTTTCACTAAGGAAGCTCCATGAAGGGAGAGTTCATATCTTGCCTGCTGATTACTGTATTGCCAGCAGTCCACACTGTTGTTGTTGTTATGTGCCATCTAGTCAGCCCCGACTCATAGCAACCCCTCCTTGGGTTTAAGAGGCTGTATCACTACGGTAGTAGATTGCCCAACTTTTCTTCCGAGGAATGGCTGGTGGGTTTGAACCACCAGCCTTCTGGTTAGCAGTCAAGTGCCTTAGGCACTATGCTACCAGAGCTCCAGTCCACACTAGGGAACTTAATACATATTTATTAAAGGGATTAATCTCTTTCTAGAAGAAATGACAGATCCTAGTCTTTACTCTCATGTAAGAGCATTTCAGCCAAAAAAGATGCCTTCAAACATGTTGGGAACACCTCAACATACAGTATTCCAATATTCCCAATATAAAGCTTTCCCTTCAGATCCTTTACCTAGGAGAGCACACAGAAGGAGAGAGAGAAGAGTGGCCACAGAGAATTCTTCACAGAGAGCAGAGAATCTGCTTAGGCTGCCCTGGGTTACGTTTCTCTACTATTATCAACAGAGAACAAGTTGGGAGTCAGTCAGGCCTGGCAGCAAATCGCAATTCTGGCATAAGTTGTGTCTTCCTGCAAGTTATTGAAACTTTCTATGCCCATTGACTCATCTGTTATTGAAATACACCATGGCTGACGAGTAAACAACATATACTTGTGGAGGGCTTTTCACAATGCCTGATAGCTAACAGATAAATAAAGGTGGCCAAGAAGCCCAGCCCAATCTCTCCTATTCTGAAAAAGAGCACTGCTCTTTTTTAGAATAATATAAATGAAACTCGGACCTGGTACTAATGTTTGTTTGTTTTTAAAGTGTCATACTCTTTCAGTAAGAAAGGACAGGAGTAATCCAGGTCTGACAGGGTATGGTAGAAGAGTGGAAAGAGGGCTGGAGTCAGATGATCTGACTTAGAATGCTGGCTCTATTAACTGTACCTTATAGGGATTTGCATAATTCATTTAATCTCTTTAAGCCTTTTCAGTGTGTGTAAAGTGGAAGACGACTCACAGCACAGTGTACAGCCTTCATGTACAATAAAGAAATGAATCTTACTTTTATAGATGGAAAGGTTGAGGCAGAGTACAGTTAGAAAATGTAGCACTGGTGGTCATCATGTTATTATAGGTAAAGACACTCAGGCTACTGAGTGAATTCTCTCTTTAAAGTGTGGAAAAGATGAACAATTATTCCAAACCCTCAAACACCATATCTTCCATTCTAAGATACTAGTTACGATACACAAAATGGTGACCAGTGATACTGTCAGTCGACCTTTCAGATTCACACTGGCAGAAGTACTCCTATGTGATAGCTCAGGCTCTACCGGGAAAACAGAGTTTCTCCAACAGTGTCAAGCAAAGCAGTATGAATAAAATTTCTCATTTCTGCTCTTTTGGCTCTTACTTTCCCAAAGCTAGGAGCTCTGGTGGCGTAATGCTTAAGGCATTTGACTGCTAATCAGAAGGCTGGTGGTTCAAACCCACCAGCCACTCCTCGGAAGGCTGGGCAATCTACTTCCGTAGAGACACCGCCTCAGAAACCCAAGGAGGGGTCACTGAGTTGGATCTGACTCAATGGCAGTGACTGTTTCTTTCTTCCCCAAAGCTCCAGGACTATTAGCAGTGCTTCCAAACATAACAGTTAGCAGAAATGGCTGAGGGAGAAGGGTATATGCAATAGAAATATGCAGCCACCTTTTGTTTTTATTTGTGGTTGTAACGTAAACTCCCAGGGAACTCCCAATACACCTTTTCTAGAAAGCCTAGAGAAAAGGCCCATTTGAGAGGCAGGAGTCAGAACCCAATCACTGATCTCTGAGAGCAGGCTAGTAGATTCTGCTCACTTTCTCAACCAACCAAGTTTTGCTGAAGGTCTCTCAAAACTTCAAAATTTAAATCCTTGATATCTTTAGAATTCAAATAACCAAAACAAAGACTCTGATTCTATTGTTCAAGATCAGATTTGCTGTGAGAGTTAAATGGGTTCTATTCCTGTAACTGAGTTTTGCAGAACGACTCATTAGTGTCAATGATCAGCTCAGAGTTAAACAGAGAACCTAGATGAGTTTGAGGAAAACCATATTCATGAAGAGTGATCTCAAAAGGTAGATGGAGAGGTCATCTTCTGCATAATTGATCAGGTTTATCTTCTAAAGATCTATCTTTGTACATTAAGCTGACAAGGAGGACGACATGACAAAGCTGAGAAAAAATGCTAAATTCAGCTGTAGAACACAAACTTTCTCTAGTAACGGACCTTTTTAGAAAAGCTCCTATGAACATCCTATAAAAGATAATACACTTAGCAGTCACAGATTCAAACACCTATTTGCCTCAACTGGTCCCGGGTCTCAGGTCTTTATGGTTGGTAGGTGGGTTTGGTAGGTAGCTATACTGTGAGGTACCATTTGGGGAGGAAATCAGAAACAGGGCTAGAAACGTACGCAGGTTTAACCCTAAAAGAACTCTCACCAATGAGATAAGAGATTCCTGAAAGATGCCATCTGGGTCTGAATGGATTACCTAACCCAAAGCCATGCTTATGTTTTCAGACATTTTGTACTAGTTGATTCCTCACCTCTTCCTCTACCACCTCCTTCTCCCAGCCCCTGTTCGGGCAAAGAAATTCTTAATCAAAGCACATACCACAGAAATACAGAAGTTCTAAGGAGAAAAGTGGGAGAAAGCCAGAGACACTGTTCTTAAAATAGAACTGGATGGTAGAGAATAAGACCAGACTGGGTTTCTGAAAGAGGATATGGCCAGGGTATCTAGCTCCCTGCGATGGTCACATTATCACATTAAACATGAAAAAGAACAACTTATACAGAAAACAAGTTTCCAGTGTTAAGACAAGATTCAGTCTCCCCAAACATCCAATTCCACCTCTCCAACCTATTACGCAAACACCACAGTAAAGTGAGTATCAACAAAGAAATGAGAATGATTACCTCCATTTCATACATCGGGGGCCCAAGGATATCTTTCAGAGCGTGAAAATCAATCAAAATTGGCATTTCAGGTGGTAGGGCCAAGTCAGCAGTGTCATTGAGAGATTCAGGTTTTTCATCTTCTAACATGTGTTCTCTGCAACCTAAAAGAGAAAATTTTGTTTAGAACATCTAAGAGCTTTGCAGGTTTAAAAACTCATAAGCAGGCATAGTGCCTAAGGTATTTGACTGCTAACCAGAAGACTGGTGGTTCAAACCCACCAGCCGCTCCTCGGAAGGAAGACTGGGTAATCTACTTCTGTAGAGATACCACCTCGGAAACCCAAGGAGGGGATGCTATGAGTCAGAAAAATGACTTGACAGCAATGAGTTTGATTTTGATTTTGTCTCTCTAACACATTTATTAGGGAGCTATGGTAGCGTAGTGCCTAAGGCACTTGACTGCTAATCAGAAGGCTGGTGGTTCAAACCCACCAGCCACTCCTTGGAAGGAAGATGGGGCAGTCTACTTCCGCAGTGATCCTGCCTCGGAAACCCAAGGAGGGGTCGCTATGAGTCAAGCCAGACTTGACAGCACATAACAACAACAACAACAACAACAACAACAACACATTTATTAAAGACAGAGAAATTAACTCTGTGCACATGTAGAAGTTAGGCAGAAGAATGAGTCTTCAATAACCCTTTGAGGGTGGTATAATGCAATTATTTTGTTCATTTACTTTTACCTGTTTATTGTCTTTCTCTTCCCGTAAAAGTGAGAGCTCCATGAAGGCAGCAATGGCCTTTAGAAGCCAGATATGGAAGGTCAAGTGCAACAGATTACCTTGTACAATTCTGTTAGATCAACACTCAGGGCTTGTGCCAAACTTTTCAAATCTGCCTACTCTTGATTACTTTTCAGAGAATTCAAGTAAGTATCCCATTTTCTGACTGTGGGCAACATGAATTTGTAAACGATAGAATCCACACTAAGCAGTGCCTTCTTTGTAAGAATATAGCTCAACTCCAAGGTTATAATTTTCCAGTAAAAATAAACATAATCGGTAATATCAGGATAAGAGAATATGAAGCCTGGTTTGAAATCTCTCTAGTAGTGGGCCATTTCCTTTTTACCATCCTGAGAGGCAGGGTTAGCTGTTATCCTGTCAAAGTTCTAACAAACTCATTTTGCTCTGGGCCTAGACATACAGGAAGTAGGAGCCAAATGACTTACAAAATCACTTTTCTACAGGTCTTTGTTATCTCAGTGTGCGTAAAGATAAATGTTAGAAACTATATGGCCAGAAACCTAAAATAAAGAGTAGAGGTTTTAAAAAAATATAGGGAATATTTGGCTTCATTCATTTTCATCCCAAGCCTTGTTTTTCTTTTAGTTTGCTATGATTTTTCTAGTTCTTACACTATCTCATGAACGTTTTAAAGTATCTTTCATCACTTTTTTTTTACATTCTAAAGTATTTCTGGAAGTGATTACTCCACATATTTATTAATCTGTTGTTGTTGTTGTTCAGTGCCGTCAAGTCGGCTCTGACTCATAGCAACCTTATGTACAACCGAACTAAACACTGCCCGGTCCTCCTCAAAACTGAATCATGACACAGGAGAGAAAACGGGCTACGAAGCAGTTTAGATTTTCTGCCCACTGCTGGCTACTGGGTCTTATGAAAAGCATCTATCTTACCATCTCTCTCTTCAGGACTGTTGTGCGAATTAAAGAGATAATCCTTTGCCGAATGCAAGGTGCAATACACCAATTGTACTGTAAGAGCAAACCCCCAGTTATGTATTTTCTCATGGTCATAGCTCAGTAATGTTATCTGATCTTTCAAGATCTGGCTCAACCAGATTTTAGGACATCTTAGTGGATTGTTCTAACTTCTTGTAGCATCTGTTCCACAAAGTCTAGCAATCATGGAGTTCCTTATGGAAGTGGGCGGTTTTTTCTGCTTGCTGCTCTGCTGCAGCACATTCCAAGCCACAGCAATGCCCAAGGCGGGGAGAGCACTCAAATGATCAGCTCCATGCAGACTGCAGAGCCGCGAGACAACAGGGGTCCCTGCTCAGTTACAGCAGTGCACAGAGAGCAAACCGGAGCTGCCTAAGGTTACTCCACCCTAACAACGCAAGGAGTCGCCGTCTGGAGCTTCAGCCAATGCCCAGCAGCGGCCACAAGCTTCCCCAGCCTGTGGGGCTTTGTGACCGGCATTCTGAGATCTCATGACTGTTCCCAGCCTTATTCTGCTGATCAAAGGAGGAAGTACAGGTGGACGGGTGAAAGTCAATCCACAATTATGTAACTAATGCTTCAGGACACCCCATCCCTTTCCAAGCGAAGTACTGAACTCAGTGCCTTAAGTGCTGAGGGATATGAGTGGGGAGGGGGATGCTAATGCAACTAGACCTTACAATATAAAAACTGGCAGCTGTGAAAGAACCCCTAAATCTAGGCGCTTGACATGAGAAAGGTTTCTGCCCAGGGTGCAGGCCAGATTTCCTTTTGTTTAAAAAACAAACAAGCAAACAAACAACTCGACTTTAGGCTGCTTTACTTCTGCTTATCATTAACTTTGCAGGAAGCAGCTCATAGCTGTTGCATGTTCATTACTTTGACTTGTTTATTATCTCTCTCTCCCATTAAAGTGAGAGCTCCATGAAGGGCAGCAAGGCTGTGAGAGGCCAGCTCATGTACTGTTCGCCTACATGTTTGCAAAGGGATTGAGACATGGTATCATTTAAACAAGATAAAAGGAAGGAACTATTTTCTCAGTAGCCTGAAACGGCAAAGACTACAATAAGGACCGTTTAAGGAATTCTTCAGAAAAAGGATCTTGTAAATGTTTGCAAAAACTAAGAGACCATATTAGAAAACAGATTGTAAGTCCTTTACTCAAGAGGTCACAGTCAGTTATCACTCTGTGAGGAAATTCTAAAACTGAGATACTTAGCATGATTAAAGATGACTGCCCAAAGCCTCCTTATTGCATTTAACTTGTCTGAAGTCCTCCTTTCTGCCTTCCTGAGGATCAAGCCTATAATTTAGAGCTGTAACTTCTTCTGAACTTTAACCATCCTCAGCAAACAATAGAGAAGACAAGAATATGGTTTGTGAAGAAATGTTTGTCAGTAAATGTTTGTCTGGATGTCTCAGAAGAACGCTTACACAGCAGGCCTCAGGAAGAATGTACACACAGCTCCAAGGAATGGATGTTAGAAAATCCATCAGCTAACCTCGTAAAATTGCAACTTGCTTTTGTCTGGTAAGCCATATGTAATCCCTAGCCCCCACAACTGTAGTCACGTGCTTCCTTTCCCGTTTTTCTGTGTAAGGGCTTGCCTCTCCCTCAGAGCACTTTGGTGAATCCTCACTAGATGCTGCCTGATCCAACTGCGTTGGTCTTTCAGTAGAACTCTCTGCTAAAATTTAACAGACTCCAATTTCCTCTTTTACACAATTTACTCTAAGCTTTAGGCATAGCAGCTGTGTAAAAAAAAAATCATATAAATTCAGAACTAATCTGCACTTCAAGATGTTCCATCATTAAAACACAAGCCTAGAAAACTACAGCTCTAGCACAGCATAGAAATCAAGGCTAGCTAATCAGAGACCTAGGAAAACACTGCACTCTAAGAATCATCCACTGGACCTGTATACGGCAAAGTAGGAAATACTGGGTTTTCACAGAATATACACGGATTCCTCATTAAAACAAATAAACAATAAGCAAACTATCATCTCACAAAGATACCACTCAAGAAATGACACCCAAAGTTATGAAACTTTCTTAGCTATAACCAAACACCTTGAGGGAATGAGACACTGGGCATAGGGGCTCAGGATCAAAGTTGTGGGGGACATCAAGGTCAACTGGCACAAAGACAATGCTCTACATCCTACTTTGCTGAGTAGCAACTGGGATCTTAAAAGCTTGAGTAGCCATGTAAGGTACAACTACTAGTATCTCCCCACCTGGAACAAAGAACAGCAAAGAAAAAGATGCATGGAAACAATCAGTCCAAAGGACTAATGGGCCACACGAACTCCAGCCTCCATGACCAGGAGACCAGAAGAAGGTGATGGTCCCTGGCCACCACTGCTGACCACTTACTTGCAAAGGGATCATAACAGGAGGTGTGGTATACAGAGAGAGAAAAATGTGGAACAAAACTCAAACCCATAAAAAAGATCAGACTTACTGGTCTGATAGAGACTGGTGGGATCCCCAAGATTTTGGCCCTTAGACCCCCATCAAGCCTGGAACCAAACTCACCCCTCTGGCTCAACTTTAAGCCAAACAACAGACCTATATGGTGAACAATGACACCTGGGAGGTAGGCACGCCTTAGAATGATGAAACAAACGAGATGAGAAGGCCAGCATTTGCCCAGGGATAAAGCTCAGAAGGCAAGGCATAGGAAAGAAGGACAGTAAACACGGGGAAGATGTGGGAAAACTGCTGTTACATTGTGGGGATTGCAATTAATGTCACAAAACGTGTATGAACTATTGAATGAAAAACCAATTTGCTTTGTAAACTTTGACCCAAATCACAATAAAAAGTTACAAAAAAAAAAAAAAAGACCGTACCCTCGGAAACTCCACAGAGCAGTTCTACTCTCTATAGGGTTACCGTGAATCAGAATCGATTCAATGCCAACAGTGTTCGGGGCAGGGTTTCTCAGTTGGCATTACTGACATTTTAGATGGGATCCTGCTTTGTTGTGGTGAGCTGTCCTGTGCACTGCAGGATGGTTAGCAGCATTCTAGGCTTCTACTCAATTACGGCAGACAAACCCTATGGTGAGCCCCAATAATCTCTGTCTTCTGGTGTTACACCTTTGTGTAATCCCCTCCCCTCAAGTATGAGCTGGACTTGTGACTTGTTTTTGACTGACAGAAGATGACAGGATGTCACTCTTGTGATTATGTTAAATTACATACAAGACTGTACCTTGCTAACTAAATTGCTGGAGCTTCTCCTTGCTGGCTTGTTCAGATAAGTGAACATGTTGCGGCAACTCATGTGGCAAAGAGCTAAAGGTGGCTGTGGTGTAGTAAATTACATGGTATGGCGTTTTTAGCCAAAGTCTTTGTAACTCCCACTTTTCCACGAGCAACTGAGCAGCTGTTTGTTAAAGTCAT